TATATATATAACTTTCTTAGTTATTTACTATAGGGTCTTGCTCCACAGTACACAGCTTGGACTCATAGTGACCCCGTATCTCAGCCTCCTCAGTGCTGGGATTACATGTGTCTGCCACCACTCCTGGCTCTGGGCCAGCATGGCTTGTGCTACCCGAGACTGAATCCAGGTCCTTGCACTTGTCAGGCAGGTGCTCAGACTGCCAAGCTATCTCCCCAGCCCCAAGACTCTCAACATAAAAAAAGTGCTGGGGACATAACTCAGTTCAAAGGCCCCAATTCCACAAAAACAATTAAAAATACTTGGGTCTCATGATATAACTCAGCGGCAGAGTGCACATTCAGCATTTGTAAGTCCCTGGTTTGAAGTCCCAGTGCTAGAAAGAAGTTACTAGAATAAGGTAGAAATGATTAGAGAGAAACATGACATCTGGTTTCCAAGGTCTTAGCATTTGTTCAGTTCCCAAAGCACACAGCTGGTCTTTGAGGAATATTTAGGCCATGGTGCTGACGCCTGAAAGGCAGGCAGGGCTAGCGGGCCTGACTAGAGTTGGGGATACCCCTCAAAATGGGCTCCTGAGTCCCTACCCTCCAATGGCCCCGCTCTCCCAAGACCCCATCGTGCAATAAACGTAAGCGATGGCCTCCTGGGAGGCTGACCTTTCCTCTCAGGACACTCTGTACGTGGGCAACACCTTCTTGTCTTCTCTCCTGCCTGCCCTCCTTTGGCATGAGCTGGGCTTCGTGCCTAATTCTGATAGCTTTTGCTTTTGTTTGTGAGTCTGTTGAGTGTATGTTTGCATGTGTGTCTATGGAGTATAAAATACTTGCCCAGTTAAGCTCTAATAGGATTCAAATGCAAAAGGTAAAAAGCTGCAAGTCTCACCTGTGCCACAAGCCTATCCTGCTCATCAGGACCTTTGCTGTATTGTCTTCCTAGATTCAGGTCTTTTACAGAGCAATATACACACTTTTACTGTATATGGTGCTGGGGATCCAACCCAGGGTCTTTGCACATCCTCAGACCTTTTAAAATTCCTTATTTTTTTTAATTAAAAAAAATTATTTTTGTGGAACTGGGGATTGAATTCAGATCCTTGCGTTTGCCAGTCAAGTGCTTATCCTACTGAGCCATCTCCCCGGCCCCAAAATTCCTTATTCTGAAACAGGGTTTCGCTAAATTGCCCAGATTAGGATCCAACTTGCAATCTTCCTGACTTCCAAAGAAAAGGGTTTACACTGGATTTATTTCTATCTTGCTTTCCTCACAAGATATCACACTTTTTTTATTTTTTATTTATTTATTTTTTTGTGGAACCGGGGATTGAACTCAGTTCCTTGTGCTTGCCAGGAAAGCGCTTATTCCACTGAGGCATCTCCCTGGCCCACACATTTTTTTTTTTTTAAAAACAGGGCAATGGTGCTCCTGATAATCTGTAATCTATTTACCTACATAAGACCCAACACAAATGTATATAACTAGATTTAAGGCTGTGTTTGATCAGCAAGGAGTCTGTCTTCATCGACAAATCAAAAACAAGTCAGGTATGGTGGTGCATGCCTATACTTCCAGTACTCTAGAGCCTGAGGCAGTACGATCACAAACTCAAACCCAGCCTAGATTATTTGGGGACTTAGTGAGGCCATTTCAAAACACAAAGGGCTGGCATTGTAACTTGATGTGAAGGTCTTGGGTTCAATCCTCAACCCTCCATCAAAATAAATAAAAAATAAAAATAAAAAAATCAGAAACATGACACCTACCTATCTAAAAATATCTGTATCAACTTCTGATGCCAAAAAGGACATTCTTTTTTAATTTTATTTATTTATTTAGTGTGTGTGTGGCCAGCTCGGCCCACCAGGGGGTGGGGCTGGCTGGCATGTGATGCTGGGGGATTGAACCGCGGTCCCTGTGCTTTGCTAAGCTTGTTCTAAGTAGGTGCTTTAGACCACTGAGCCATCTCACCAGCCCCTAAAAAGGACATTCTTATGCAGTAATTCTTCATCTTCTCATCAGATGGGTGGACTCCTTGACCCATTTAAACAAATCCAAAATGCTGTACCTGTCAATTGGGCAGACCTTCTGTTCCAGTTGGAGTAACTGGTCTGACAGGCTAAGGCTGTCTCTCCCTACTCTAGAAGTGCCCCAGGCAAAGGCAGTCACTCCACCTGCGGCGTGACAGAGAAGGAGATCAGAGGCTGTCTGCAGGACTCTGCTTAGCTTAGTAGCTGGGCCTCCGGAAGCCTCCATCCTCAGAACCTTGTTTGTATACCGCTTTCGCTTCTCTCAGGGGCAGGGGCTGGAAGGGGGATGGCAGAGGACGAGTTCCTTTCCTCACAAGTGCACAGATGCACCCTGCCTCATGCTCATCTGGGCCTCACGAACACAGGCAATGGCACGTCTGCACATGGCTGGCAGGAGTGGGCTGTTTGTTTTTGCAGGCATGTCTTGATGCTGTTCTCAAGAGCAGCAGAAAGGAAGGGTCGGTAACACTAGAACTGAACAAAGGGAAAACTATAAAGGTGCACAGCTGGGTGGAGGGCCAATGTCCAGGGAGTGAGGGACACTTCTTGTGATGCTGCAGGAGCAAGAGGGGAGGACAGGAAGGCAGAGGGAGCATGAGAAGGGACATGGGGCGAATCTAGGCAGCCAGTGCCCCAGATCTGGGCCTTGAGCAGACAGATGAAGCAGGTTGACTAGTCTGGTCTGGCACCATCAAGAACTGGCAGCAGAGTTTTCCTCTTTTTTTGGTAGCAGGAATTGAACTCAGGATCTTGTGCTTGCCAGGCAGGTGCTGCGTTGCACTGAGCTATATCCTTGGACCCAGGAGTTTTCCAAGCTACCACTGTGCAGAGAGACCACTGACTAAAGGACACAGCAGCTCATGATCAAGAGGTGCTAGCTCCAGTACCAGCACAAGAGCCAAAAAAGTTTAAGGATGAAACTTCAGAAGAAAAATTCAAGCTAGGGTGTGGCTCAGAGGTTCAGTGCTTGACTACTGTACACAAGCACTAGGGTTCCATCCTCTGCACCACAAACAAAACCAAACACTTGAGGGTTAAAGTAAGATAAACACAGACTAGTATGTTAAACTTTGTTTTAATTTGCATAATAAAAGGGAATACTCTACTGAAATAGTAACTCATCTGGATCTTCTTGTATAATGCAGTATTCTTCCATTGGAGTCTGACAATTTTGAGGCCAGCAACTCTTCTCACATGTGTAAACTAGAATTGTTCCAAACTCCACCAAAAGATCTGAAAAATGCAACATGTTCTGAATTTAGGAAAGAAAATGTTAAAAGACATGCTAAGAATGTGAACATTCACACAGTAGATAGATCACAGAACTGGAGCAAGAGAGCTTGGGTCAAATCCAGCTCTATCGCCTGGAGCACTTTATCCTACCTCTCTATAATAAAAACAGTATTTTCAGCACACCTGTTATTCCAGTGCTGAGAAAGACTTTGCAGGGAGACTGCAAGTTCTAATTCTCCCTGAACAACTTACCCAGTCTCAAAATCAAAAATGTAACAGGGCTGGTGATGAGGCTCAGTGTGAAGGCCCTGGGCTCAATACCCAGCATGCCTATGAGCACATGCACATGCACAAACACACACAAAAGCTGAAGTCTTAGCTCAGTAGTATACCACCATGGGTCAGGTCTCTAGTACCTCAAAACAAACAAACAAGGGGCCAGGGAGATGGCTCAGTAGAATAAGCGCTTCTCTGGCAAGCGCAAGGGCCTGAGTTCAATCCCTGGTTCCCGCCAAAAAAGAAAACAAAAAACCAAAAAAAAACCCTAAAAAACCCATAACGATGTATCATTTCAAATTATTAGGGTGGCAGGGCTGGTCAAAGAGCTCTGCAGATTAAAACGCAGGGGCCAGCCGTTCCATCCTCCCCCCAACCCCAGGGCATGTTGAGAGGCAATTGAGACTGAGTGTGGTGGTGGTGTGTGCCTGTAATTCCAGCTCTTGGGAGGCTGTAAACAGGTGGATCACTACGAGTCTGATCTAGTAGTGAGACTCTGAACACCCTGTAGGCCCTTCCCTAAAAAAAAAAAAAAAAAAAATCAAATTACATCTAAACCTTAGATGTACAAAATAATAAAAAATTTGGGCCGGGGAGATAGCTCAGTAGAACAAGCACTTGCCTGGCAAGTGCAGGGTCCTGAGTTCAAACCCTGGTAACGTGGGGTGGGGGGGAAAGGGGCGGCAATTTAGCAAGTCCCTGTTGCAAAGTAAGAAATAAAAAGAGTTGGAGGTATAGCTCTGTGGTAGAGAATGTGTGAGGCCCTGGATACTATCCCCAGTATAACAAAAGGAAAAAATAAAAGCCTGTGGTTCAAGCTACTCGGAAGGTGGAACAGCAGGATCAATGAATCCAGGAGTTTGTGCCCAACTTGGGTAATATGGCAAGACCCTGTCTCACAATGAAGGAACATAACTATCACAGGAATAAAAAATATAAGTGTAGCAAGACAGAATTACTATGTATTACTACAGAACAAACAATTTCACTTGAGGACACATTCAAGCAAACTGAATGTGGGATGTTTTTATTTTTATTTTTCAATCTTTTTGAGACAGAATCTTACTATGCAGTTTAGGCTGGACTTGAGCTCACTTTGTAGCCTGGACAAGTCTTGAATTTGCAATGATCCTTCCTACTTCAGTCTCACAAGTGCTGGGGTTACAGTTGTGAATCACCAGGCATGGCTTGAAAGAAGGATCTTTCTACAGGGTCTTACTACACAGGATCTGCTGCAGGGTTTGTTTTTGTTTTGTTTACTTACTTTTACATTAACTCTTTCTCTCTCTCTCTCTCTCTCTCTTTTTTTTTTTTTTGGCAAAACTGGGAATTGAACTCAGGTCCTTGCGCTTGCCAGGGAAGCGCTTATTCCACTG